ACGAATCCTCTATTGTTCATTCACAACCTTCATACGATTCTTGACATACCCAAACGATGTCGTATTAACAGCCCTTGACAAAGTAACATCCAGCACTGTTAAAACATGACTGTCCTCATATAAGACACTATGATGACCTCAAGTCAAAGGACCAATTCCACTACCGAATATTAGAGATTAACCACTGACACTCAGATAATTATCCATGTGGAAGCTCTTGACGGGTCTCCAATATTTTGTTCTATACCAAAACATCCACATATTAATTCAAGTGTCACCACACTTTAACTTGTGAGATCAGTTATTTACTTTACAAATAAAAAATGCTACAGGTGATGGCGTATCCGTAATAACGATATTTATGCCTCGTCATTACTTACGATCACAGATGATTTAAGATTCAATCATATGTAATTTGTATCTCATAATTACAATTCCTTGTGATTAACAATTAACAAGATTTGTATATACGGACTTTATTATTTAATTTAATTGAATATTAATTAAATAATAGATCTGCCATAAAATTGTATCAATTATATATTAAAAGTGTTTATATCCAAGGTTGATTGGACCTAGGGCATGACACTTACAGTGTTAACATCGCCCCTACATATAAATAGACCGTAGACGGTTGGGAGGGCTGCTGCCGACCATGAAATCATAAAATTCATTTCTCGGGTGGCGTTTGACAATAAAGCAATGAAAACTTGATTCAAGTTGGATCGATAGGTGCTATCAGGACTGTATGTAGTTGTATTTGGGCAATAATGGTAAAGAGGATCAGATCTAATTCGTGCGCAGAAGCAGAGAATGCAAAAGAAGTAAAAATATGTAGAGAGTATGAGGCCTGACATGATTAATCTCAAAAAAAAGAAAAAAAAGAATCTGCTTATAATTTTGATACTTTTTCAAACGGAAATGGATTTTTATAGGATGTGGAAGGAGCAGTGAACAGTCAAAGCACGTTTAAACATGCTTAAGGAATAATAGAAATTGGAGCAATAATGTGGCCGGAAAACTTTGTAAAGATCTTGACTTTTAGTGGAGAGAAAAGTCAGAGGAATTAATCAAACTATACTAATTATAGGGTGAAAAAGTATGCATATGTCTCACGCGTTGCAGTAAAAGATTCAAATACTTAGATAACAATAAGTAAATAAAAGTAAGAAGAGAAAAATAGTCACGCTTTGCTTGCAATTCCACGGATGAGAAATAAAGAGCAGAGAAAATGGTTTAAGAAGGGTATACTTCGATTTTACACTCTTTCCGGCGACTTGTTTTGTCTCTTCATTTTTGCCTTCTTGCGAATACCACTGTTAATGAGCTTGTTCCTCAGTATTTAACATGTTTAAATTTACTTTTGAAGAATTTTCTTATTTCTAAATATTTTGGATACTTTTTTCTTAATTATCAATAAAAATGCTACTTAATATGATCAGCTTTACTTTCAAATAAAGTTCTATATGTCAAACTTTTATTAAAAATGATTATACCTTTATAAAATATATTTTTCACATATAAATAAAAATTTTAAGTTCTAGCAAACACACTCTAAGTATTATTCGGTTCTTTGGACTCAGTAATATAACACGATGAAGACTAAAAAAAATTGAATATACTAAACGTTGACTCGGCCAAGCCATCACGTCATTAGCTCATTTAATGTAACGCGATGAAGACTAAAAAAATTAATATACTAAACGATGACTCAACCAAGCCTTCAAGTCACCAGCTCATTTGTCGAACAGACGGATCATTGGTCCGATTGACGGGTCTAATACTCTAGTAGTAGCCCAACTTTTAAACTTCGACTAATGTCTGAAAAGATTTCAAGTCCATCCCAAGATAATGAAATGTTATAATTTTATGACCATATCCTTTAAAATGTATATTCATGAATGTTACTTATTAAAACAAAATATATTTTTAAAAAAAGTTAACTAGTAAAACGAAATTTATTTTGCTTAATTATATGAATTTTCAAAGTATGTTGATGCATTGCTTTTGAAAATAAGAGAAAAAATCTTCATAGATTAATAATTACGTACCATGGCTACGTAGCATTACATCCTTTTGTTAGAACTACATTCCAGTTAATTCCAGAATATTCCAGCTCATGTTTATTTGTTAATTAGTTAGTGATTAGCCTATTAATCAGCAAATTAGTCAGTTAATTACTCGTCTTTTTCTCTATAATTAGAGCCATTGTATTCATTAATAAATCATTGGATTATATTCTCCAATCCCTCCTATGGAGGTTTGTCTTCCTCCTATTATGGAGTGTTTTCTCAATTAATAAATTCTAACAACATCCTTGATAAATGGCATAATGCTTTGACAAAAAAAAAAAAAAATGAGAGCGTAATAAATATTTATTAATGGTAGAAACGATCATTTCTTGACGGTCTAATTCTAACATGGATTAATTAGGATTTAGGCACAGCAATGTACCTGGACCGTATAAGGAAAAATACGTTCTTTTTTAAAAAAAAATATTGCAATGACACTTGCCTTTCATTCCGTCTTTTCCCTTCCTCCAAACCCAGCTAGTATCAGGGCGAATCCTGGATTTAAAGTGAGCACGGGCGACCGGTTCGTTAGTCGCAATAAAATATTTAAAATAAAATATAACAATTATTTTTGTTAAGAATGAAAATATACTTTTTGCATTTAACATAGTGGCCAAGTTTCCGCCTGCTTCAAACGAAGTTCAAGGGTTCAAATCTTATTAAATAGCATAAAGCCGCTAAACTTGAAAGATATATAATTTTGTTACACTAACTTTCCCAATGAATGCAACAATGGTCATGTCCTCAATAAGCTAAGGAAAGGGTTACAAGTTCGAATCATCTCTCTTGTATTACTTTTGGTAAAAATTGTTGAATTAGAAAAATAATACTATAAAATGTTTTCCAGGAGATTCGAAACTGGCACGTCCAACTTGGTTGTAAAAAAGTCAACCAATTGAGCCATAGGTGAAATTTCAAGAAATATTGAATTATCAAATATATAATATAAAATGTGATCTATTAACCAAAAAAAATTCTCCCCAAAGAATTAAGCTAGGGCAGCCGCCCTAGCTGGCCGCCCCCTGAATTCGCGCCTAGTATTACATATTAAATAACCTAATTTATACATATACATACAATTTATTTGTGGCTTGGGTACCAAATGTCCTCTCGAAATCTCAAAACCTAAACTATGCTCAATTTGTCTTTGCATGTTTGAGTTACGATTTAAGTTAGCTTTCAACAGTCTACTTGAAGAAAATGTCGATGAAGACGAGTTGATCGAGCAAATAATAATTCCCGGCTATCACATTCAGAAACATTAGTGGCTTCACTAAGATAACTAGATGGTGATTATTATTATTATTATTATTATTATTATTATTATTATTATTATTATTATTATTATTATTATTATTATTTTACCATGTAATCGTAGTTCCAACTCTTCGTCTCATTACTGCTTGCTTGTGCAAATCTCCTACTCGTATTAGTGATAAAAAATGAATTTAGTTGATGTCCAACAGGTTTAAGACTTGAACACAAATTTTTTTTAAACTTGAAGGACTATAAAAATGGTCAAGTGATGAAAAATGAAACATATGACCAATTCAGCTGCCATCATTCTTGTTATAATTCGCACAAGATTTAAAATCGTTTTGTTGAAAGCGGAACAATTTTGATACCAATTTATTGAAAATCCGACTAAATAGTTAAATAATGAGAAAATATGAGCAATATAAAAATAATGAATCACAAGAACACAAGAATAAAATGATTTGCAGCAAATGAAGATTTTATTATAATATGGAGAAATAATACAAAATTTTTGTGTTTATGATTTGTCTAACTTATAATGAAATTAAACAACCCAACTAAATTGTAGAGAAGAGTCAAATATATGTAGGGAACAATCCAAGCCTTAGAAGTAGAGTTGAAAATGAAATAGAATGTCCAAAAACTTATTTAATAATTGAACAAATCACAAGGTTTTTAATTTATAATATATCTTGTGTAATTTATGCTTTAACCAGTGGTCTTAATTAACCCCTTTGGCGCATTTAAAAAAAAATGATAAAAAAATTAAGTTTAAGTCGATAATTAATTTAATTACATATTTCATAGGATCTATAAGTTTTATTCACTTTAATCCCATATTTTATTAACTTTTACTAAAATTTTCTATAAAAATATGATTTTTAGCTAAATAAAATAGGAATTTAATTTCAAGATTCTTGCATGTTTTATCGATGTTAAAAGATTCTAGTTTGGTTGATTTAAGAGCAATTGGACTAGACGCCATGTATATGGTAATGGTGTCACAAATTTTAATAATTTAACGTGCTAATACTTATTAATATTTGAAATTTTATTTTAAAAGCTCAATCGATTTTTAAATTCGAAAATTCATTTGAGCTTTTAAACTGAATTACTTGTTAGAGTTTAAACATCAAATTTACAAGTTTTTTGAAAAGTCAAAAGTTATTTCAACGACTAACAAATTATTTTTGGTTACGTTCGACTAATTTTTTGAAAATATTTTGCCTGATTAAAAGATAGTTCGGAGAAAATTTGTCCAATATGACTTCCTCATAAAACTATCATACAAAAAGTAAAAATGGAATTCCTATCGAACAAGCTCTAAAACTTAAAAATTTTATTTTAAAATATCAATCTTGATAGTCTAAACAGTTATATATTAATAATTAATATTTAATTGTTGTGGAATTTATTCCTTATCTTCCTTGTTTCACTATCTATAAACTAACAAGGGGTTCGCATTTAACTTCCACAGCCAAATGGCCCTTTAACTTTAAAATATTCATGCAAAGATCAATGCTAACATGTTCTTGACAAAGGAAAATGCCTTGGGAAATTATTCGCATGGGCTTCATCGCTATAGGCTATAGACGGGTTTTGGTCACATATTATCCATCGAATGATAGTGGCGTCAAAATTGACAAACAAATCCAAATTGACCCACTTTCATTCAGGTCAAACCAATTACGGTAAAAAAGATTTAAAATAAGTAAAATATTCCGGCCAACGTAAATCACGTATATATTTTTCTATCATTTGTGCTTTTGATGACAATATATATTTTTCTATCTTGGATATAATTCAGTAATTGATACGTTATTTGTAGAGAAGGCTGTCGAGGTTGACGTGGATTTGTCCGAATCTTGAACTTCGGGCAAGCTCTGTGTTCTACTATGAATAAAAAATGGTGGTTGACGAGGAACAACGAGAGTGGCTGAATAACCATTGAGTGCCAAAAGTATCGAAGCCATGTCTGGTCTTTCATCAGCATCTTCTTGAACACATAGTAAGCCAATTTGAATGCATCGAATTACTTCATTCCTAACATATGCATTTTGTAATGTTAGATCCATCAATTCCAATGGTCTATTGTCTCTCCAAAGCTTCCAAGCCTGCACAGCAATAGCGGTCAACTTCTAAGCAGAAATACATCATTAACAAATATGGTCTCAAGAAATAATTTAGAGTTTTCACTTACATAGCTTAAGAGATCCTCAGCACCATCTGATTGGTAAAAGCTGCTATTCTTCTTGGAGCTTATGATTTCCAAAACAAGGACGCCAAAGCTAAAAACATCAGATTTTATAGAGAACTGTCCATGCATTGCGTATTCCGGAGACATGTAACCACTACAAGCCAAAAATAATAGGATATATCTTGAGCTAATAAACTTAAGAAGATCAGTATATGATTATAATAAAATCCACTTAGTTTGGCAAATGGATTAGAGTAGAACTTACTATGTCCCAACAATCCTATTTGTATTTCCTTGAAACTGATTAACTCCAAAAATTCTCGCCATGCCAAAATCCGATATTTTCGGATTCATATCTTCATCTAATAATATATTGCTAGTTTTGAGATCACGATGTATAATTCGTAGACGAGAATCTTCATGAAGGTAAACCAATCCGCGTGCTATTCCTCGTATGATCTTGTAACGATTTGACCAATCCAACATTTGCCGTTTTTCTGAATCTTTACATCCATTAAGAGAACGAATCAAGTTATTTAGCATTGATTGTTAATATTGTTTTTGAAGGCCAAGTCTCAGAAATAAAAACTAAAAGGCCTTATCTGGAAAATTTATATATTATGACGTATGTATCTGTATATTTTCTCGGCTAAATTATTTTTTGTCAGCGATTTCAGTATAAAGATGAGAAAAGAAGTAGTTATATCAAGATTGATGCTCACCGAATATAAAATAATCAAGGCTTTTATTGGGCACAAATTCATAAACAAGTATCTTCTCTTCTCCTTCCAAGCAAAATCCTAGTAGTCTTACTAGATTTCTGTGTTGAAGCTTGGCAACAAGTACAACCTCATTCTTAAATTCATTTGCGCCTTGTCCTGAATTTTTGGAAAGCCTCTTCACTGCTATTTCTTGTCCATTTAGGAAAGTACCCTACATGCATGTTTGAACATAATATTGTACACTACAGGGAACACAAATCATGCTCATTTTTTTCTTCAATACTCTGTCAAATGCTATATAGCCCTACTTACCAAATAAACCATACACGTGTATAAGACATTGCTAAAACATTGTAAATATAAAGGGATAAAACCTAGTACTTAAAATTATATTCCTTCAAGTACCTTGTAGACACTACCAAATCCACCTTCACCAATTTTGTTGTCAACAGAAAAGTTGTTTGTAGCAAGCGCAATAGTATTCAACTCATATTGCAAGGATTCAACTGACGAAATCTCGTTTCCTTCGTCTACATACAAAAATAGCAAATCATTGCATAAATTTCTTTAACCTAGGATTGAATGAACAGGTGAGAAAATACGTTTTTTTATTGATTTCTTACTGTCTTAGATTGTAAGTTGCAATGTTTCAGCCAAATTTTTTAAAAAAAAAAATACATTTTTAAACAGTGATTTGACATTATTTCAATAACACATTTTTCAATAAAATATTATTACATGCAAATTCAAAACTTTTCTTTATTTTTTAATCACACATTTCTCATAAATAAATTATTCAAAAATGCATTCCAAGAAAAATAATGTGGCTCAAACAAGGGATAAATTGGTGAACTAAACAAAGACTGCTGAATAAGTAGAAACAGGCAAGATAAACAATATTAGATCATAGGTTTTCATGCTATCAAATTGTCCAAAATGTTGAAGATATCTAACTCTTTTTAAAGTTTTAGATGTCGTGATTCAATATGTTAAGAGCCAACAAAAAAAATCCTAAATTAGTTCTCTAATCACCATTCATTTTACAAAAATTGTAGACGTGTGTGCATATGAAGGGGATTAATCTTCTAGATGATTTGGTTCGATCCAGAATCCTAGTGCGTACACAAATTCAAATAAGATCGAATGGGAATCTTTTTCTTCTACTTTTCATTTGTGTAATCTTAGCTTACCATTTTCCTTATTGACGGCATCGTAAGCTTTTTTCCTTGTTCTCCTTGTCAAGAAGCAGAAACCTATGAAGACAAGCACTAAGGAAACAGCAATTGGTACAACGATGGCAATAATAACTTGTTTTGAAATTCCTCCATTTCCTGAATTGGAAGCACAAAAGAGGAAAAGAAAAGGATAAATTTTCTTGTCGAAATCATCCACCGAACAACTAGGAGATTTGCAGAGATATATATCTAGTGACTAGTTATGCTCATTGCAGACTCATATTGATGTTTACCATTTCGTTATTTCGTTTTCTTTTTCTTGTCGAAGTCCATTTTTTTTTAAATAATGTATTTCTTAAGAATCAAGAGGTTACCTTGACTGGTTGTAGAGGGCGAGAGAAGCGGTGGTTGAACAGGAGGAATATTTGGAGTTGGCGAGAGAAGCGGTGGTTGAACAGGAGTTGGCGGTGGTGGAGGGGCCACAGTAGAATTAAAGAAGGGGTAAATCTCATACCAAATATTACAGCTTTCGCCAATAACTCTCCCTCCTTTCCTACTATCACAACATGTTATTAATTGCGGGATCGCATTTCGAAGGCAGTTATCGCAATCACCACTCGTAAGATATGGCATGCACTGTGCTAGTGTATACAGGCTGACAGACGCTGTGAAATGAGCTGTTTTTGTTGCAAATCTCTTACCGGAGGGATTACTATTAGCAGCTTCTGATGTTATTTCATTCATAGTCTCTTCTAATAATTGTTTGAACCTATTGGGTTCATCTGTAATGTTTTGCACATTAGCTATATATAAAGTGAACGAGTCCTCTGGCCTCGAGTGTATAGATTCATTTGAGTAGCGTATCGTGCAATAGTCGTACCTGTTGAAAATAATATTTAAATGAATACATCTTGATAAGTTCAACTTTTGATAAAATAAATAGTTATACCAAATAGCTGCCCCTTTTTCCTTGGGACAACGTTGTAGGACTTCAGTTGTTGCATTTTCCACACACTGTTGGCAGACATCGGTGTTAACATCACCCCTACATAAAAACAGACCGTAGACGGTGTTAGGAAGGCCGCGGCCGACCATGGGATCGTAAAATCCAATCTCCCGGGAGGCGTTTGAGGATAAAGCAATCAAAAGTTGTTTCAAGTTGGATCGATAGGTGCTATTAGGACTGTATGTAGCTGTATCTGGACACCAATGGTAAAGGGGATTCGATCTAATTCTTGTGCAGAAGCAGAGAATGCAAAATAAGCAAAAATATGTAGAGATGATGAGGGCTGACATGATTAACCTTTAAAAAAAAGTCTGCTTATAATTTTGATATTTTTTCGAACAGAAATGGATTTTTATAGGATGTGGAACTGTGGAAGATGAGCGAAGACGTGAAGTGCCAGTCAATGGAAGCGAATATTTTGGTTGCAGGAAATTAATAAAGGGGATATATACCAACAATTTACTTATTGATGGAGAAAGGACTGAATACTGTTGATTTTTTTATGGTCTAGAATTTACAGCTTTCGACATTTCAACTGTATAGACTTGTCAAATGTA